TCTCCCCGAATGAGAAACTCTTACTCACTATGCAGAAGGTTCCAGGCCACATCTGGACAAAGCTCATGCATCGCCAAGGACAGGACCTGCAGTCAAAGAGAGAGAAGTCTCCCAGTTTTCTCCTTCTTTCCAAAGTCTTCAGATCAGCTCATTTTCGAATGAAAGGGTTTAAGGTCAGTGAGAAAAGAGGAGGATTGGTTTGAGAGGATATTGAATGATTTGGGTAGGTTTGAACAATTTGGGGCAATTAAAATGTTAAAAGTTAAATAAACCTTGTGGAGGGAGGAGTGTTAAGGTATACAGAAGTGTACATATGGTTGATTTGAATAAGTTATTATTGAATATTATTGAATATGTATATTAATGAATATGTATATTATTGAATATGTATACCCAATGTATCAGCCGCCTGGTGGGTTTCACTGTTTGTGTTTTGGTGGTTGGGAATATATATATATATATATATATATATATATATATATATATATATTTAAAAAGAAAAGATCAGCTCATTCTTCGCACCCTCACTTCCACCAAAAAAACTGGTACCTATTCACTGGAAAGATAATACTATGACCCCCCCCCTTTGATCAAGGGATAGAAGATGAATGGATTGCTTTTAGATCCAGATTGTTTATGGATAAATGCAATAATACTTAGAATGCATTTATTAAGAAATATTACTTGTTAATAATTGTGTCCTCATTGGAATAATCACCTTACTTATATACCTGTATATGGTATTACAGTTTCATGCACCTTCCTTTCAATTTATTTGTCCACTGACATTTTTCAATAAAATATAATAAATTAATTTTTTTTAAAAAAGATCACTTCCTAACACTTATTTACCAGTTTGCGGTTTTATTTATTGAATTTGTTAGTCTCTTTATCTTGCCCAGGGTGACTTCCAACCAACCTTTTCTTTTAGTAAAAACTTTCACTTTTAGTATATATATTAAAAAAAGTCCTCGTGAAAAATTTTAACGTAAATTTCTCATTAAATACACATTTTTGCAAGCCGTTTCACCTAACATGTTCATCTACCTTATTTTTATTTCATAACATTTACAGTATTTTTCCATGTATAACACACCCCCATGTATAAGATGTCCCCTATTTTGGAGATTAGAAAATGGGGGCAGATTGCCCCCCTGTATAAGACTACCCCCCTTTTTTAACATGATATTTTAGTAAAAAGAAAACCTAGTCTTATATATAGAAAAATACAGTATATACTACTTGATTGTGTTGAAAACAAAAGAAAACCTCAAAGCAGTTTACAAAAAGAGCAAAACAATACAACTATCAGTAAAATAAAAACCACTATTTAAAAGATTTAAAAAAATAATTAAAACCGGGTAAAGGTAATGGTAAAGGGACCCCTGACCATTAGGTCCAGTCGTGGCCAACTCTGGGGTTGCGGCGCTCATCTCGCTTTACTGGCCGAGGGAGCCGGCGTACAGCTTCCGGGTCATGTGGCCAGCAGGACTAAGCTGCTTCTGGCGAAACAGAGCAGCGCACGGAAACGCCGTTTACCTTCCCGCCAGAGCGGTACCTATTTGTCTACTTGCACTTTTGACGTGCTTTCTAACTGCCAGGTTGGCAGGAGCAGGGACCGAGCAACGGGAGCTCACCCCGTCATTGCGGGGATTCGAACCGCCAACCTTCTGATTGGCAAGTCCTAGGCTCTGTGGTTTCACCCACAGCGCCACCCGCATCCCTAATTAAAACCAACAATCAACGAAAAACAGATGAAAACACGTCATCATTCTACATCTCTGCGTAGGCTTGTCTAAACAAAAATGCTTTTATCAGGTGCTGAAAAGAGTACAGTTTTATGTGTGCTTTAATACCCAGTTTTGCTTGGAGAACTGTATTGCAAAATTCAGAGAAGCACAAAATTCTCATGACAGCTGTGTTCCAGTTTGCATGTTGTTTTGGGAAGCGTGAATCAGGTTTTGCATTAAAACGCAAACCGAAATTCTCCGTCCGTCCCCACCTGTAATGCAGAGACTGAGAGTCCACAAATTCATCCCGTCCCGCTTTCTGCCCATCTCTCACCTTTGCTCGAGGTTCTACGTACCTAGAGTTCTCCACCTTGGCCTGCTGCTGCCTCCAGAGATCCTCAGGGCGAACCAGCAACCAGGAAAAACTCATGCAGAATAAACCCAGAGCGACGGAATTGGCTGCCATCATACCTGCAAGCAAAGCAGAGCTGATGAAGAAAGGAGAGGAAAAACAGCAAGGAGAGGAACCCAGTCGCTCTGTCAACGTGCAACCCCAGGTATAGAAACCCTCAAGTAGGGTTCAGTAATCCCAATGTCTGATGACAAAAAACATTGGCTAGGTTGTTTCAGTCATCAAGGTGTCATAGCTCAGCCACAGAACTTAAGCTTCAGTTCCAGTATTCCTAAATTAGGCTAAGAAAAAACCCAGCAGGGCCTCTGCCTGAGCTCAGTTGAATCAACTACCTGACTTTGTATAAACCAGCTACCTAAGCTGTCCCAGCCTGGGTTGCACAGCAGCAATGCACATGCCCTGATACGATGTCGCCCTTTCAGTATGAGAGCCAGACACCGATCTGGTGTTTAAAAGGAGAAGGACGGGGCTGGTTTCACTTCCCTGTGCGATGACTGAGAAGTAAAGACTCAGCTCCTCGTGGAGTTGCAGATTGCAGAACGATTGCTTTGATCAGACCAACTTGGGCCGCTGTAGGCAAGTGCAGACTTTAGGGTTTCACAGAACTCTTTATCAAGGAGATCACCAGTGTTGAAGCGGTGATTCTTCAACATCAACTTCGTGGACTGGTTGTGTTGTGCGGATGCCTGACGATCGTCTTCCAAAGCAACTACTCTATTCCAATCTTAAAAAGGGAAAGCGTAATGCTGGTGGTCAACAAAAGAGGTTTAAAAACGCTCTCAAGGCAAATCTTTAAAAATGTAGTATAAACACTGACAACTGGGAAACACTGGCCTGCGAGTGCTCCGATTGGAGAACAGCCTTGACCAAAGCTGTCGTGGGCTTTGAAGACACTCGAACTCAGGATGCAAGGGAGAAAATGTGCTAAGAGGAAGGCACGCTTGGCAAATCCACACCGGGATCAACTCCTGCCCGGAAACCAATGTCCCCACTGTGGAAGGACATGTGGATCCAGAACTGGCCTCCACAGTCACTTACGGACTCATTGTTAAAACCGTGTTCATGGAAGACAATCTCACTCAGCTACGAGGCATCACCAAAGAAGGAAAATAAGACATGGACAAATGTTCTGACTTGGTATAAGGCAGTTTTCTATGTTCTAAGTGAGGTGGGTGGGGTTGCCCTTGTGCCTTTACTTTCTGCACGAAAGCTAATTTCTAAAGACAATGGGTATGTTGGTGTTAGAAGAGCACCAGGCCTAGTAGCCACCAGCCATCAAAGGCAGTTCACCTAAACCCTATGGATCATCATTTAGTGCGAGGCTATGCAAAAATCTAGAAGGGGGGGTGCTCACTCCTGTGGGGGTGAGTTCCACAGTTTAAATAAGCTGTGGGTGAAGAAGGGCTTTCTTTTAGCTGTCCCGAACCTCCCAACGTTCCATCTTCATAGGATGCCCCAAAATCCCAAGGGCTACGAGAGAGGGAGGGAAACTTCTCTGTCTGCTTTTATTGTGCTTTGCCGTGGAAAACCTGATCCCAGAATAAGGACCCATTCATGGCCAGATTTAGGTCTGATGAGGCCCCAAACTACTGAAGGTAATGCGGCCCTTTATACGTCCAGCTGTCCTATCTGGCTAGATGGTAATTTATGGACCTCATAGGTATCTAAAGCCATTTGCGCATGTTGCCCTGCAACCAGTCCATGCAGAATGTGGGGCACCCTGTATATAGAAAGGAGCAAACCAGTGATGTTTTAAGGGAGCAGGCTAGCAGGCGGGGCCCATGACTTACATCATAGGAACCTACACAACACAAAACACTGTTGCTGGATGTAGGTTTTATTTTATTTCTTTTTAATCTTATATTTGGAAATGTAACAGTGGTACCTCGGGTTAAGAACTTAATTCATTCCGGAGGTCTATTCTTAACCTGAAACTGTTCTTAAACCTGAGGTACCACTTTAGCTAATGGGACCCTCCTGCTGCCGTCGCGCCACTGCCGCACAATTTCTATTCTCATCCTGAAGCAAAGTTCTTAACCCAAGGTACTATTTCTGGGTTAGTGGAATCTGTAACCTGAAGCGTCTGTAACCCTAGGTACCACTGTACATCCACTTTTTCCCCCTTTATTTTTTGGGGGGACCTCCAAGAGAGTGTGGGACGCAGGTGGGCGCTGTGGGTTAAACCACAGAGCCTAGGGAATTGCCTGATCAGAAGGTCGGCGTTCGAATCCCCCGACGGGGTGAGCTCCCGTTGCTCAGTCCCTGCTCCTGCCAACTAGCAGTTCAAAAGCACACCAAAGTACAAGTAGATAAATAGGGTACCGCTCCGGTGGGAAGGTAAACGGCGTTTCCGTGCGCTGCTCTGGTTCGCCAGAAGCGGCTTAGTCCTGCTGGCCACATGACCCGGAAGCTGTACGCCGGCTCCCTCGGCCAGTAAAGCGAGATGAGCGCCGCAACCCCAGAGTCAGCCATGACTGGACCTAATGGTCAGGGCTCCCTTCCCAAGAGAGTGTGGCCCTAAGCTAGAACTTGTTTTAGCTTTTACTGTACGTAAATCTGGCACTGGTCCCAAAACTCACAACGTACACCTCCGTTGGATGCCCAAAACCTCTAGGGCTACGAGAGAAGGAGGGAAACTTTTTCCTGTTTGCTTTCTCCGTGCAATGCTGTGCATCATAACCTGATCCCAGAATACGGTCCCATTTAAAGACAGCTGCTGCCCCTTCTCCACCGCAGGCCCTCTGAAATGTCCCTCCAGCCTCCGCATTCCAGTCCGAAGTTTGAACTCGCCAGCTGCCCTTACTTCTGGCAGGCGGTCAAGGAAAACAACGGCGGCCCCCCCCCCTCCGCCCTGGCAGGGAGGCAATGCCCTTGTAAGGCCCAGTTGGAGGTCAGCAGAGACACAGGCAGAGAGAAGGAAGGGAAGGAGAGAGATCAGGAAGGAGGCAGCAAGGACCACCGTCAAGAGCATGAAATCCCTTCTGGTAAAGACCCCTCCTCTGTCTCTGCACGGCTGCTTGCTAAAAGCAGGTCACTAACCCTGGGGTGTTTGTGTGCCCTATAGCTTCCTTGCTCCTAACTCATAAACTACTGGACTTTTGCTGGTGTTAAAAAACACTGGCGAGGCCCCAAACAGGCGAAACACAGTTTCAGGGTGTTACGGAAAATTACGGGTGGGGGGCACCTCTTTAAAGTTGTTAAATGTTACAAATATTATGACTGAATGTATCCTTTTGACTTGACAGCTCAGGGAAGTTACCTAGTTTTAAAAAATAATATAAAATCAACTCCTTTGCCAGTTTCCTCCATTCCAAAGCTATTTTCTCCTTGAAAAAGGACTCCAGGAAGTTCCCAGAAGTGACGATTGCTGAGCTGATTGTTGGCCAAGGAAAGCCTAATCCCATCCCCAGACCTTGCCAAGGGTCCAGACATGCAAAGGAAGTTCTATTGTACTTTGAGTGGTGGGACTTCAGAGGTGTTTGCCTAGGCTAATCTTATACCTGGGTCTTGCCCTGACATGTCTGTTTATGCTAATCTTGTACCAAGGACTTGTCTGGACATGTTTGCCAAGGTTAAACTAGTGCAGGGGTCTGCAACCTTTAAGACAAAAAGAGCCACTTGGACCCATTTCCGAAGAAAAAAACAAACTGGGAGCCGCAAAACCATTGCGACATTTAAAACAAATATATCTCCGGAGCCGCGATCTGACAGCGGGCGGGAAGGTGACGTCGGGACAGTGCGTGACTAACGCACGCACCGCCCCCATGCGACGTCACAGCAAGTACAGTGCCCACCACAGTGGGGAGTGTCAGGGCGCACAATGCACCTCCTCCCCTCGCTAGTATCCGCCCCGGAGCCGCGGCAAAGGTGTAAAAGAGCCACATGCGGCTCCGGAGCCGCGGGTTGCAGACCCCTGAACTAGTGTAACCCCTGTCTGTAAAGGTAAAGCGACCCCTGACCATTAGGTCCAGTCGTGGCCGACTCTGGAGTTGCGGCGCTCATCTCGCTTTATTGGTCGAGGGAGCCGGCGCACAGCTTCTGGGTCATGTGGCCAGCATGACTAAGCCGCTTCTGGCGAACCAGAGCAGAACACGGAAACGCCGTTTACCTTCCCGCCGGAGTGGTACCTATTTATCTACTTGCACTTTGACGTGCTTTCAAACTGCTAGGTTGGCAGGAGCTGAGACCGAGCAACAGGAGGTCACCCCGTCGCGGGGATTCAAACCACCGACCTTCTTATCAGCAAGTCCTAGGCTCTGTGGTTTAACCCACAGCGCCACCTGCGTCCCAACCCCTGTCTACCCCTCCCCTTTTGTGATATGTCAGTGTTGCAGCAATGATGCTGTACGAACTGTATTCTGGGATATGGTGGGGAAGTTTTAAAAGTCCTTGTCACCCCATCCTCGGGGTTCAAAATTCCTCTTTGAACCTCTTGCGCAGTAAACTTTGGTCTACAGCTATTTGGTGGCTGCACTCCTTCCTTTATTCCGCAGGGACCCACGGGCTCTGCCTGACCTTCTGGGGGACTGAGCAGCCTTGGACCTAGATTTTTCCATAACAAGGGGATAGCCTTGCCAGTTTGTTGCAGAATCTCCTTAAAAAGATATATATATTGAAGCAGAAAGTTCTGTGTGTGATACAGCCTACTTGGTCAGATGCATGGGGTGAAAAACAGGCATGATTATATTCCACCCTTTCCCTGCTCCTATATCTTTTTTTCTCCCCCCCCCCCCATTATATTTTATTAAGTTTCAACTTTTGTTTGTAAGTTTCGACATTTTTAAACCTCTACAGTCAAAAGGCAAATTCGTCTCTTATTTTTGTTGACTTTCCGCCCCGTTCTCCACAGAGTTTTCGTTCCTCTCCTTCGGCTGAACCCTAACTTCTGTCTATTAAATCCATCAAACCGCAATATTATAATCTCGTTGCTCCTGTCGCTCAGAACTCCAATCCTGCTCGTGAGCTCATCAAATATAATATAATATTTCTTTGGATACCCTGAAAAAGGCATCAATTCTTCCATAAAACACTTTTAATTCCCTACTCCTATATCTCATGGTGTTCTGCTCTTCCTGTCCGTCGCTGGGAAGTTCACAACAGCTTTCGGAGGAGAGTGACTCACCAGTTTAGTTACATCAATTTATTTATCAATTGCATTTATAATCAACCTCTTCCTCCTCAATGAATCCCCACAAGAACCCTGGGATACAGGTCAGGTTGAGAGGCAGTTTCTGGCTCAAGGTCACCCAGTTGAACTTCATAGCCGAGTGGGTTATTTCAAGTCCTTCCTGGCAGGGCTATTCATTTCATTTATTTCATAAGATTTCTCTTTGCCTGTGAAACAGACACAGAACAGAGATCAGCCTTAGCTACTTATTCCATCTGCCCCACCACCACCAACCTGCTGCTTCCATGGGAGAAAGACTTTACCTTTTGAAAAACTGGTGTTTGGGAGGAGCTGGAGTAAACCTAGGTTTAAGCCTAGGCCCACCTTCGCCAACCGGGTACCGTCTAAATCAGGGCGGTCCAACTTTTCCTACCAAGTGGGCTGCAAGAGCACATCAACACACAGCCCACAGGCCCCACACTGCCTTGTTTTGGGGGAAGAGGGGAGAAGCGAGCCCAAAATGATATTATTTATTTATTTATTATACCCCGCCCATCTGGCTGGGCTTCCCCAGCCACTCTGGGCGGCTTTCAACAGAATATTAAAATACAGTAGCCCATCAAACATTAAAAGTTTCCCTAAACAGGGCTGCCTTCAGATGTCCTCTAAAAGTCTGGTAGTTGTTTTTCTCTTTGACATCTGATGGGAGGGCGTTCCACAGGGCGGGTGCCACCACCGAGAAGGCCCTCTGCCTGGTTCCCTGTAACATCACTTCTCACAGGGAGGGAACCACCAGAAGGCTCTCGGAGCTGGACCTCGGTGTCTGGGTTGAACGATGGGGGTGGAGATGCTCCTTCAGGTATCCTTGGCCTTAGAGGCCGTTTAGGGCTTTCAAGGTCAGCACCAACACTTTGAATTGTGCTCTGAAATGTACTGGGAGCCAATGTAGGTCTTTCAAGACCGGTGTTAGGTGGTCTTGGTGGCCGCTCCCAGTCACCAGTCTAGCTGCCGCATTCTGGATTAGTTGCAGTTTCTGGGTCACCTTCAAAGGAAGCCCCACGTAGAGCACATTGCAGTAGTCCAAGCAAGAGATAACTAGAGCATGCACCACTCTGGCGAGACAGTCTGCGGGCAGGGAGGGTCTCATCCTGCATACCAGAGGCTGCCACAGCCTCCCCTGACCCAACCGGTAGTGGAGCAGCTGTGAGTGATGGCTCAGCTGGAGGCAACAAGGTCATCCCCGCATCTGGAGCCCCTGACTCGGCCCAGCTGGTGTTTGTTGCAAGGGAACCTGTGCAGACTAGGACTCTTCAGGATCAGGCCCCAGACTTGGTTCCAATGATGCCTGAGGCAAAGGATCCAGTGCAGACTGAGTCTCCTCTGGTTCCAAGTCCCAGGCCATCACAAGTCCTCCTTCACACTGCGCATGGTTAAACTGTGGAACTCCCTGCTACAGGGCCGCAACGATGCAAACCAACTTGGATGGCTTTAAAAGAGGACGAGACAAATTCACGGAGGAAGAGAGGGCTAAGGGTGGGTGCCAGCTCTGCTCTGCCCTCCCCAGTTGGAAGCAGAAACTCTTCTGAATCTCTGTTCCTGGAAACCACAGGAGGGGAGAGTCGCTCTTGTGGGAATGTTCAGGGATGCAGGAGAGGATATATTGTTTGATTATATCCTTTTCCAACTTGTGTTAACAAGTTCCACAATTTAGCAGAGTAACATTCCCCTTTTTAAACTCGCAGCGGATGCGTTTGCTCAGGCTCGCTAAAGCCTCTATAATAACTGTTCTGGTATTTCCCCTTTATTCCCTCATAAAAGATAAGACACGGCACAGTCTTCTATAAAAGTATTAAAAGGTTTACTCACACACCATTCTGTTCACAATCGGATCCCAGAAGGCAGACTTAGCTTAGAAAAGTAACATATACCTGGAAACTATCTCATAAGGAGACAGTCACTCTGTCCTCTCTGGGCTGGAGGCCAAGAGAGCATCTTTGGCTAAGCAGATGTTGCTTCTTTGACGCATGTAGTCAAAGAGAGAGAGATGACTGCCCTGCCCTGTGCTTTACCTGCACAGGTGAGGCCACGCCCAACCCTAGTCCCATGCAGAGGAAGTCTGTCCCAGCTCTGAAGGAAACAGGAAGTTTACATGCTGGCTGGACAAACATTCCTCCCCATGTGCAAACATGTTCCCTCTGGGAAGGTTGTACTTGATTGCTCTTGTGTTTCACATCCGGCAGCTCTTGTGCTCGGATCCTGGTTCCCCACAGGCGTCTTGTTGGCTACTGTGGGAAGATGCTGGACTAGATGGGCCACTTGCGGCATCCAGCAGGCTCTCCTTATTCTCTTATGTTCATGGCTGGTGGGTTTTGTAGTCAAAAACATCTGGAGGGCACCCGGCTGGTCTGGAGTGGGGTGGGGAAGGTGGCGACTGTTCTGCATGTCACTGGACCCAGGTTTCACTTGTGCTTTTAGGGCCCCCAGGGACAAAGCCCTGAGTGCTTTTACATCTCAGCTTCCGGAGAAAGCAGAAGTTCCAACGACGGCTGTAACCGCAGCTGGCTAAATTCAATCTGTTGTACCTGAGCTTACAGTGAACTAGAATTTACATGCAGCGAACTTAAGAGATTTAATGGCAAACCTTTGCAAGCATTAAGCTGGTTCGCCTTCACAACAACCCTATGAGGTGGGCTGCAATTATCCATACATCCGCTGTGCCCACTACGGAGTGACAACTCTGGGTAAATTGGAGAACATCAGCTTTGCACAATCCCAGGCTCAGGGCTTCTCCAGGAGGCAGGCCTGGCCACCAATTTAAAGCAGGTCCATCATCATCATCAATTTTATTTATACCCCGCCCTCCCCAGCCAAGACCGGGCTCAGGGTGGCTAACACCAGACAGCAATACAATTGATTCAAATACAACTTAAAAACAAGATTAAAATGCAACATTAAGATGGAGCCTCCTTTCAGTAGAAACTCAAATCAAAAACTTTTTGGGGATAAAAACGTCAAATCTTCACCAAGGCCAGACTGGTAGAAAAAACCAGGGAAGTCCCCAAATAGGAGTTCCATCACAGAGGGAGAAAGGAAAAAGGAAAGAGGGGGAGGGGGAGGGGATCAAGTTGATTCCAAGCCAAAGGCCAGGCGGAACAACTCTGTCTTGCAGGCCCTGTGGAAAGAAATCAGATCCCGCAGGGTCCTGGTCTCATGAGACAGAGAGTTCCACCAAGTTGGGGCCAGTACTGAAAAGGCTCTGGTTGAGGCTAATCTGACTTCCTTAGGGCCCGGGACTACTAGGGTGTTGCTATTTATGGACCTAAAGGTCCTCCGTGGGGCAGACCAGGAGAGGCGGTCCCGTAGATACAAGGGTCCTAGGCCATGAAGGGCTTTAAAGGTCAAAACCAGCACCTTAAACCTGACCCTGTACTCCACCGGGAGCCAGTGCAACTGGTAAAGCACTGGATGAATATGCTCCCATGGCAGAGACCCCGTAAGGAGTCTCGCTGCGGCATTCTGCACCCGCTGGAGTTTCTGGGTCAGCTTCAAGGGCAGCCCCACGTAGAGTGAGTTACAGTAGTCAAGCCTGGAGGCGACCGTCAGACAAATTTGTGCAGGAAAGGGTTATCCATGGCTCCTTGGGACTTCCTAATGCGATTCTGCTTTTTTTGTTCCTCGTTTCCTCTCTTCGCTAGGCTTCCCGTATCAGTTCTCTCCGGTTCCTCTCCACCTCCGCCCCTCGGACATTGAAAAACAAGGTCCCAGAATACCAGAAGCTCTTCCAGGTGAGAGATTTGGCTGTGTCCAGAAAGCAGCTGTTTATGGTAGCAACAGCTTTGCTCAACCAGACATGGCAGGAGGGAGGGAGGGGGAAAGAGAGAGAAGAGGGAGGGGGGAAGAAGAAGGGTCTAGGCTGGTCACAGGTGTCCTACTTTTCAAAGGATGGTTCTCTCTCTAATGGTCAGGGGTCCCTTAGCTTGATATGCTATATGGCAGGCACGTCCAACGGGTAGATCAAGATCTACTGGTAGATCACTGAACGTCTGTGGTAGATCACTGGCTCCCCCCCCCCAAAGTAGCTCAACCACTATGCCCTGCACCCTCAAAACGGGGCTTTCCTCCTCCCTAAAAAAAACTCAAAAACTCTTAACTGAACCCCTCAAAACAGGGCTTCCCTCTTCCCTAAAAAAAGACCGGAATCCCAAAAAACAGGGTTTTCCTTTCTAATAAAAGCTCAACAACTTTGATCAGAACCCCCCAAAAGTGGGTAGATCACTGCCAGTTTTTTAATTCTGTGAGTAGGTCGCAGTCTCTTGGGAGTTGGCCACCCCTGCTATATGGTAATTTATGGACCTAATAGGTATCTAAAACCATTTGCCCTGCAACCAGTCCATGCAGAAATGTAGGCACCCTATAGATAGAAAGGAGCAAAGCAGGATATTTTAGGGAGCAGGCTAGCAGGGCCCATGACTTACATCATAGGAGCCTACAACACACAAACACGGTTGCTGTATGTAGGTTTTATTTCATTTGTTTGTTATCTTATATTTTAGAAATGTACATCCAGTTCTTTCCCCTTTAATTTTTTTTTGGGGGGCCCCCAAGAGAGTGGGGCCCTAGGCTAGAGCTTGTTTAGCCTATACGTAAATCCGGCACCTGTTGTGTTGTTGGAGGGGATCCCAGTGGTCATGAGCCCAACCCCCAGGAATGCAAAGTTCAAAGAGGGTTGCCTTGAAGTTGCTCATCCAGAGCGAGCAGCGCCCAGTGCGCCCACTGAGCATGATGCACACATATTGAAGTGGACTGGGGGGAGGGCAGGTGACTAGATGACCTTTGGGGTCCCCTCCAGTGAAATGGGGCTAACTCCTTGCCTCTCCGCAGGAGGACAACGGGCTGCCTGTGCATCTCAAAGGAGGCAACATCGACGCCATGATGTACCGTGGAACCATGATCCTCAGTGTCTTTGGTAAGTGATATCTCCGCTCTTCATTCATTTCCAGATTGTTCAGAGGTGCTCTCCTCCTTTAATTTATTTATTTAACTAAAATATAGTTACTGTTATAATGGGTTGTGTTGGGTTATTTAGAAAAAGAAATCTGTGTTGGGTTGTTTTTTTTTTAAAAAAGAAATCTTTCCCCTCGCTTGCGTGGAAACAGATCGTTTGTGCTTGGAATTTGGGATCTGTGGCCTACGAATGACCTGAAGTTCAGTATGTATAGCAAATGCAGAACACAGATGAAACACCACAATGAACCAAATTCTCTCTTCACTCTTGCTGTCAAAAATAGAAGCCTTCTTGCTTCTCGTTGCGGCGAGACAAAACGGAGAAACGAAACAAAACAAGTGAGAGCAGATGGGCTTGTGTTGTGTTTTTTTTTTTCCTGTCCATAAATATTTCCTTTTCAAACTGCAACCAAGCTCAGGGAGCAGATTGTGCCCTTCCTTGGCCTGAGAATGATAACCATGAGAGAAATCTTCTGAAACTTTTTGCGGTCAGTCTGTCCCATTCCTTGGTGGGTTTGGGGGCCAGCAACTCATTGTCCCTTACTCTTGGACAAACAGACCTACAGGCTCACACACAGACAGAGACGCTGGTTTGGATAACCCTTGGTTGACTTTATTCGGAGGGATACATTGGGAAGGAATGCAATGCACAAGTTTCTGATTTCCATGCCGCCGCCACCATCCCACCCCACCCAGGTTAGAATCCAGAAGTCAGCTTCCGGGTTACATTTCAAAATGACACCCCCCTAGACTTAGACATTATACCGTATTTTTTGCTCTATAAGACTCACTTTTCCCCTCCTAAAAAGGGGAAATGTGTGTGCATCTTATGGAGCGAATGTAGGCTGCGCAGCTATCCCAGAAGCCAGAACAGCAAGAGGGATTGCTGCTTTCGCTGCACAGCAATCCCTCTTATTGTTCTGGCTTCTGAGATTCAGAATATTTTTTTTTCTTGTTTTCCTCCTCCAAAAACTAGGTGCGTCTTGTGGTCTGGTGCGTCTTATAGAGCGAAAATACGGTGTTTGATACCCAGGGCTGCAACAAGCAGCAATGAGCAATCAGTTACGCAGTGGAACATCCCTTTCCACAGCCATCGTTTTCACACACACCCCGAACAAATCTGCTCCGTGTTACAGATTGTGCACCTTAAACCTCCTTTAAACACCCTTTAGCTGGCTCTTGCAGAGTTCAGAAAACAACTGAGCAAACCTTTAAAAACAAAAACCAGGCCAAGCAATTCCCAGTTCTAACTTGATCGGAGAAAGCCTTATTATCCGAGCAAAACCCAACTGCAGGGGTCAGCAAACTTTTTCAGCAGGGGGCCGGTCCACTGTCATTCAGACCTTGTGGGGGCCGGACTGTATTGGGGGGGAGTGAATGAATTCCTATGCCCTACAAATAGCCCAGAGATGCATTTTAAATAAAAGGATACATTCTACTCATGTGAAAACACGCTGATTCCCTGACCGTCTGGGGGCCGGATTTAGAAGGCAATTGGGCCAGATCCGGCCCCCGGGCCTTAGTTTGCCTACCCATGGAATAAGGTTTTCTTGCAAAGCAAGCAGTTTCTGGAGGGTTGCTTCCATGCTAAAACCTGTTTGGCTGTTAGCAGGAACTGGTATTAAACTGGACATTGCATCACCCAGTAGCTCCTTCCCCACTGCCTCTGTGCAGTAATATATAATGTTTCTTCTCACGTCAATCCCTTCAGCAGCTTACCCCCCTACAACATTAATTAAAAGCTTCCTTCTTTCAGTTCCATTGTGTTTTATTACTTCCTGTTCAGCATAGCTAAAGAGCAGCCATTGACTGTCCCTTAACCAACTTCTGTTTCCCATTTTTTTCATACAACGTGAAATGACTGACCAGTGACATTTTCCTGGATTTATCATTGTTGCTTTAATATTTACCGGAATATCAGAGATCTTATGTTATCGAGCAGCATGCAGATGTCATAAATAAAGGGGAACGAAGGATGGCAATTTCAGGAGAAAGGGCTGGCGTGAAACCAACAATGCTTCGAGCCTTGCCAAATTTTTCGATAAGTGACGTGGAGCTATTTTCCCCCACAGGTGTCGGCCTCACGCTCTTTGTCCTCTTCCAAGCTGCTTCTCCGAAGAAGAACAAATGAGAATAAAGATTTAAGGGGGGGGGAGAGACTTAGAAGTCCCGTCCCCCCCACCAACCACCAATACCTGTTCCATCCCTTGGTTCCCCCAGAGCGCGAGAGAGAAGGACGATCGCCTTGTTTTCTGGGGCGGAAGAATTACCAAACCTGTCGATTCCTAGGAACTTTCCTTCAGGATGGCAATGAGCAAATGAAGTTGTTCAGAGACATAAACAAGCAAATGAATAAAATGAATTAAAAGAAAGATTTGCCCTTTTTTAAAAAAAACAACACCACCTGCATTTTTAAAAACAGACAGACACCCCACAAATTTTAAAGGCTGTTAACAAAACTGGAATATCAAAATTAACACGCAAGCCTGTATAAGCCTAAGAAGATGCCTCGAGACTATTTTATTGGCAAGAGGGTGCCGTCCAGCGGTTTTTGACTACATCTCCCATCAGCCCCCAGCCAATATGTAGTCCAAAACAGCTAGATGGCACCAGTTTGACTGATGCTTGTATTTTGGAAATGTACATCCACTTTTTGATGTACTGGTGTTGCTTGACTCTGGCCGGCAGCAGCTCTGCAAGGTCTCAAGGGGAGAACATCAGAAGAGACCAGCATCCTCTTTCTTTCTTTCTTTCTTTCTTTCTTTCTTTCTTTCTTTCTTTCTTTCTCCCCACCCACCCAATATTTTTTATTGGATTTTAATAACATGCAAACGAGTTACAGGGGGGGAAAGATATCACCTCTTCTCCATTTTGGTCTAATTTTATTTCACATACAAGGAGCGCTAGGTACCACCGGTCGATAAGAGTTCCTGGGGTTTTGTACAGGCCAAGATTATTTTCGAAATAAAAATTATAGTATTGTAGAGTTGGAAGGGACTCCAAAGGTCATCTACTCCAACCCCCTTCAATGCAGGGACTGCAGCTAAAGCACCTGTAACAGGTGGACAGCCAAGCTCTGTTTCAACACCTCCACATTTCTAATTGTTAAAATGTTGATTGTGGAAACCTTTGCATTACAGACCAGACATCCTTTCCCTCGTTTGTTTTATCATTGATTCTGTAAATCTCAATTCCATAAAAGTTGTGACAACTTGCCTTTGAGACAACGACAACACTAATTTTCATTTCCTTTCTCTCCCCCCCCCCCCCGTAACTTATTTCCTGTAACCAAACAGTCATCTAGCCCAACGCCCCTGAAATGCAAGAATCACCACTAAATAATTCCTGACAGATGTCTATCAGGCTTCTGCTTAAAGAATTCCAGTGTAGGAGAATCTCCCACTTTCAGGCCCGGATTTAGGTTTGATGCGGCCCTCAGCTCCTGAAGGTAATGGGGCCCTTGATATGTCCAGCTGTCCTTTGACAACACAAATGGTCACTGCTTTTTGTGTTGAATATATGCTACATGGTAATTTATGGACCTAATAGGTATGTCAAGCCATTTGCACATGTTGCCCTGCAACCAGTCCATGCAGAATGTAGGCACCCTATATATAGAAAGGAGCAAACCAGGGATATTTAAGGGAGCAGGCGGGGCCCATGACTTACATTAGGTCCAGTCTGCCCATTAGGTCCAGTCATGGGCGACTCTGGGGTTGCGGCACTCATCTCCCTTTATTGGCTGAGGGAGCCGGCATACAGCTTCTGGGTCATGTGGCCAGCATGACTAAACCACTTCTGGCGAACCAGAGCAGCGCACGGAAACACCATTTACCTTCCCGCCAGAGCGGTACCTATTTATCTACTTGCACTTTGACGTGCTTTCAAACTGCTAGGTTGGCAGGAGCAGGGACCGAGCAACGGGAGCTCACCCCGTCACGGGGATTCGAACCGCTGACCTTCTGATCGGCAAGTCCTAGGCTCTGTGGTTTAACCCACAGCACCACCCGCGTCCCTAATCACAGGAGCCTACACAACACAAAACACGGTTGCTGTATGTAGGTTTTATTTTATTTGCTTTTTATCTTATATTTTGGAAATTTACACCCAGTTTTTTTCCCCTTTAAATTTTTTTTGGGGGCCCCCAAGAGAGTGGGGCCCTAAGCTAGAGCTTGTTTAGCTTATACCTAAATCCAGCACTGGTCCCTCACCTTCCACGAGAGTCCACCCACTGCTGAACAGCTCTTACTGCCAGGAAGTTCTTTTTAATGTTTAGCCGGAATCTCCTTTCCCGCCATTTGTTGTTATTAAAACCCAACCTCCTGTTTTCACGGCCGCCATCGCAGTCTTCCCCATCCCTTGGGACCCAATATAAATTGGGCTTCTGAGACTGTTCTTAGAGAACTACGCCCGCCTGCCTGTCACCTGACACCGCAAACTGCCAGGTACAGAGGTCTGTCCCGCTATCCCTGTGCTACACGCAGCCTGTCATCCATCCCAGAATGCAAGGGGTGGGCCTTGCTTGCCCCAGGTTGCTAGCTCCAAGGTAAGTCACTTACCTGTCCAGTCCCCCAGTGGGATCTGAAAGCCTCACAAACCCGCTCCACTTCCCTGAGAATGACTCTCCTTTGGTCGCTGCTGTTGGGAGAGACGCGTTTGGCGTGGCAGCAATTCCCTAGCCGCTACAGACCGTGCCCGGAAACGTTTGAATCGTTCCATTTCACAGAAAGCGGTTGCATCGGATGGCCGGGTGATCGCGCACCCTTCCGTTCTTTTCAGTAAAATGGCCTTATTTCGCGATGATGGCGTGCACCTTTCCGATTAGGGGAGTGATATATGGCTGGCCGATATTGCAGAGGGCTTGAGGCATCGGTTACAGATGTGAGGGTATATGGCGCCGAGCCTTTGGGCTCTTGTGGCTGTTAGGCATTGTTTGACCTTGTGGGGGGGAGAGGAGGTGTGGCCATCACCTGCCCCTCCTTGCTTAAGGGTATTCCGTTAAAGGAATCTGTGGGTGTCGATCTTGTCCGAAGCCCAGTCGGGGGCTAGGGCCATGACACAACCCCAATGGGAACACCAGGGGGAGCTTGAGTTGGTTCGCATCGACAGGGCTCCCCCTACCGGTGGCTTACCCTTACTGGACTTCCTGCACAGCGGGCAGGAGTCAGATATAAAAAGGTAAAGGGTAAAGGGACCCCTGACCATTAGGTCCAGTCGTGGCCAACTCTGGGGTTGCGGCGCTCATCTCACTTTATTGGCCGAGGGAGCCGCCGTACAGCTTCCGGGTCATGTGTCCAGCATGACTAAGCCGCTTCTGGAGAACCAAAGCAGCGCACGGAAACGCCGTTCACCTTCCCGCCGGAGCGGTACCCATTTATCTACTTGATGTGCTTTTGAACTGCTAGGTAGGCAGGAGCAGGGACCAAGAACAGGAGCTCACCCCATCGCTAGGATTCGAACCACCGACCTTCTGATCGGCAAGCCCTAGGCTCTGTGGTTTAATCCACAGCGCCACCTGCATCCCTTATGTGATCTATGGGCTACTATTAAAATGAGGCTGCATTTTAAATTGCATTTTAACCTGTATTTTAAATTGGGGTTGTTGCTTTTTCTCCCCCCCCCCCATTATGTTTTTACTGTAATTTTTACTGGTGTTAACCACCCTGAGCCTGGCTCTGGCTCTGGGGTGTAAATAAAATTTTATTATTATTATTATTATTATTATTATTATTATTATTATGTCTTTTTCTGTAGGAGACCGTGGATTTATCCATACAAGGAAAAACGTCCCCCTTGGTTCTTTCCCAAAAGATCCCAAGATGGCGGCCAATGGCATTGTGGGTTCGGAGTCGGAAGACCTTGAACAGCGCATCCACCAGGTCAACAATGAGGTCGGGAAAATTCTTTTTTTTTTGCCTCTACCAGCCAGATCCCCCTTTTCCTTACAAAAGTGCTGCTGGTATTTCCCAGAGGGGTGGGGAGAAAGGAACTTGGGAAGGCAACCCCCCTCCTATGAGCTGATTTCAACCCAGAACCAGATTATTCCCAGTCTCGCCTGGGTCGACTCAACACTATTTCTCCTGCCAGGAAATGATACCCTTTGTGCACTGACGATTTGCGGCGAATCCAGCTGGCATCGTTGTCAGCCTGTTGCCTTCTAATATCTTCCGCCTTGTTCTCCCGCATCCTTTCTGATGTGTGGTGATTTGCCCACACGACCATCCCCGCACATAAAATGCAGCTGCCGTGCTCAGCTGCTCTGTGAGGACTGGCAAAGGACTGTTAAGACTTGGCAGGGCTATTGCACCTTTAGTTAGTAGCTTCCTCTTCTGGAAGAAATGGCCTCCTCCAGCCTTAAATTGCTCCCAGTTTACTTTAGCAGCAGCCTGACTGTGTCCCAGTCTACAATCTGGAGAACCTTCTGCCTGTGCTAGACCTGAGGGTTAACCGTGCGGTGAGGTCCGAGTCCAGTCCGAGGTCGAGGGTGCGGTATGGAGGCTGTCCATCAAAGCTAAAGCTGGGTCCAAGGCAGGGAGTCGGGTGAGGTCAGGAACTCTGGCAGAAGAGCAAGACAGGGTGCAGGCAGGAACAGGCTAGCAACAACATTGTTCCTGCAACCTGGGACTGGGCTGACTGGCCTTTATCTCCTCTGGGGCCTAGGGATGTCCTGGCCCACAGGTGACTCGCCTCTCCTGGCCTGGAGGCGAGCACTCCTACTGCGGGAACTTAGTTCCCTCCGCCTCTCTGCCCTGAGCCTCTGCAGCTCAGAAGAGGCTGGAGGGTTACCGGACCCAGAGGCAACCTCAGCTTCCTCTGCCGGGGCTGAGAGTGGAGCACCTGCAGGCAGTGGGCCGATCAGAAGGTCATCCCCGCGACGAGGTGAGCTCCCATTGCTCAGTCCCTGCTCCTGCCCACCTAGCAGTTCGAAAGCACACCAAAGTGCAAGTAGATAAATAGGTACCGCTCAGGTGGGAAGGTAAACGCCGTTTCCGTGTGCTGCTCTGGTTCGCCAGAAGCGGCTTGGTCATGCTGGCCACATGACCCGGAAGCTGTACGCCGGCTCCCTCAGCCAGTAGAGCGAGATGAGTGCCGCAACCCCGGAGTCGGTCACGACTGGACTAATGGTCAGGGGTCCCTTTACATTTATAGATCACATAAAGGGAGGGAAACATAGGGTCATACTGAGTCCAAACCAAAGGCCAGGCGGAACAGCTCTGTCTTACAGACCCTGCAGAAAGAAATCGGATCCCGCAGGGCCCTGGTCTCTTGTGACAGAGCGTTCCACCAGACTGGGGCCAGTGTTGAAAAGGCCCTGGCTCTGGTTGAGGCTAATCTGACTTCCTTTCCTCTTCAAAGAGAAGGAAACACCCGG